AGTTGTCTATTTTTCATCTCCATCTCTTGTGTCTTCATATCTAGTTCGTGTGCTCGAGACAATCTTCGTTCTTCCCTCAAATCGTCTTGTATTTTCTTTTCTTTCTCATCACAAAACTTTCTAAGTTCTTCCCCTTCCAAATTTAATTCTTTGCCCAGCTTGATCAGTTCTGCCAAGTTAGACATTTTTATGTCTTTACAATGTAAACAACAGTGAAGTTACAATTCCTTTCTTTCAAAATACACACCTTAAAAAGAACAATATAAGTTCAATATAATGAACTAGTAACTTGAATTAATAACTAAATGTCCCTGGGTATCAATACCAAACCTTACAATAAAGTGGATGTAACTCTTCCAACCACCAAGTCTATTACTAAATAATTCTATATATATATATATATATATATATATATATATATATATATATATATATATATATATATATATATATATATATATATATATATATATATATATATATATATATATATATATATATATATATATATATATATATATATATATATATATATACAGTTGATGTTTGAGAAGAAGAGTTAACTAATATTTGTTTAGCTTATGGGAGAGTAAATCACTTAAGCACACTTGAGAAATTAGATATGACAGCAAGAATAAATGATATATTATTTGATAAAGATTATTAATCAACTAATAGAATGTTATAGCACTAGAGTAGATGCAGTGGATTATCAAAGTATTAGATGTAGTGGACTATCAAAGTATTTACGAAATAAATAACTAATTAATTTGTAAATGTGTAACAATGTTATAATAATCCTGTGTAGCACAGTAGTTGGTTATAAAGTTTCAACTGATTATACCTTGTGAAATCACACAAAAAAAATTGTCTTTAATGGCCGCACAGTCTGGGTATAATTAAATACTATTCTAAAAAAATAAAAAATATTTGATTGAATTAGTCTTGATAATCGACTGTGATAGAGTAATCACTAATAGTCTCAAATAATTAAATTATTTCACGTAATAACTACTAAATACACTTGTTCAGTATGATGCTTATTAAATTCGCTTTCAATAAAGCCACATTTAGTTACAATATATATGCAGAAACTGTTAACTGAATAATTCTTATCCACCAATACCTTTAGTCTATATTAGACATCAACAATAATAATATTCAATACAGATTAAATAAAGATACAGTGTTGAATCAATTAGTGTATCACCAAATAATATTACAATAATCTTTACCCAATCAACCAATGATTAACTTATTATTCTTGATATACAATACAATTTATATTACCCACAGCTGTATTTTTGTTATAGTGGTTACACTTGATGATGATCAAATGTGAATGGGTAGATCAAATGTTAAACTCAAATTGAAATAACTTTGACACTTGATAATGATGATGTGTGTATGATTAATTATGGCAATTCCTGATGATGGTGGTACTGAACTTTCGTGTAATATAACACCCACAATTTTTAAAATGACAAAAAAAAAAAATAGAATTTCAATACATTTTGCCAATATTTATAAATAAAAAGAAATAATGTAAAGAATAGTAGGAAAATACAAAATAATATCAAAACACCAATGTAATAATATGAATAAGTAAAATAAATGTCAATGAATGCACCAATGTAAATTATAAATAAATAATATTGATAATTATAATAAATAACTGAATCACCAGAAAAATAAATCAAAAATAAAATTAATAATCAATGTATATTGTTGTGCTGATCTAGTTGACTGTCCTGAAGTTGACCTGTAGCTGGTTCTGCGATGGCTGTTGCTTTCTTGAAGGTTGTTTCGTTGAAGCTTGTCCATTGAATATGTTACTGCTACTTTTAAAATACTGAAGAAATAATAACTTGATCGGGTTAATTAAAATTAAATACCATAGTAATGATTTCATCAACTAGACACTGAAACTAATTAAGACCGCACAGTTTATCTGTTCACACTATTAATTTTAGCATTCAATGCACACTGATTAGGGAATTGTTCAGTGAAGCATTTATTACAGAAACTGCATACTGTTTGTGGTACTGTTCACTGAACTATCGGTTTCATAAAGTGGATATTTATCACTGAATAGTTCACTGCTAGCTACACCTTTCAATAGTACATTGTTAACTGTAGACACTTAAATAGTTCACTGCTAGCTACACACTTCAATAGTACATTGTTAACTGTAGACACTTAAATAGTTCACTGCTGGCTACACACTTCAATCAATACTTAGATTTGCACCGACCAATTTGATGCTTTTCCTGTCGACTGAATGTGTTTAGGACGTAGGAAGGCTTTATTGTTATCGCTTTCTTGTGATATGTGCGATTACACGATGAACTTGAAGCATTATTGATCACGAGACATCAATAAGTGCTGATCTTGAGGTTTTGTAGGCTTGTCATACTGTAGTTTTCCTATTAAATGGTTTGCCACGGCTGAAAATGTAGAGCTGCGACACAAATACCCAGTGTCAGAGCTGTGGTTCTTTTTGATTTCTGTACAGTTAACACTCTACCCGGTGTTTCACTGTCTTTCTATGTTTTGAAAAACAGATCCGAAAAACAGGATCTGGTGTCGACACTTCTCTGTGTTGTTCAGTGTAGATTTCCCACTACACTTTACCACACTTTAGTCGGCAGTGAAATTTGATCAAACAACCAGGCTTCGGAAGTTTTGCAGAGGGCAGCCCTAGTCTCACATCATCTCTGTGTAGACTTACGGTTGTATTCCTTTGCTACAATTAATGAATGCTCTTTGACACTGTCACTGTCTGCAATCTTTCCTTCGCATCTTAGTTGATTGTTGATTACTTGGTCGAAACTTAAAACGTGGACTTGTCTATCAGTATTCAAAGCCTGGAATTTGTCCGAACGTTGTTCAATTTGTGAACTATCGAATATGGGTTGTTGTTATGTCGCCATCGATCTTCCCCGCTTACGTTCTTATGTTGAACTGGTACTACCTGACGTCAGGTTTATAACTAAACACATTTCGATGTCTCAGATTTTACTGTACGAAACAACTTTCCTATCCTCAAATGTTTGGACGAGTTCCCCATTCTGCAGTGATCAATCATTGTTATTAATTGCTGGCTCGAATGAGTCACTGCATCTCTCCATTCACCGACTGACAAGAACGAGAAAACATGGACGCTGGCAGACGTTCAGAAGTTACACGTACTGTTTATTTTCACTCGCTGTTGTTGCAGTCAGTAAATGTCTATATACAACAATATCACTCATCAATGCTCTAAACAGTCAATCATACCTTTGTAACATCGTCGAATACACACACAATTCAAAGAAAACACAGTAGCTCCCTCCATCCAGAACGACAGTCATTCACAGCTGGCCACCGTTTCCGTCAGCCGCTATTTTATGCCAGGTAGGCATTGGGAAATCACGCTATTCAGACGTCAACATTCTTCCGAACTTTCCACACGTACACCTTTCCCTTGGCCTAAACGAGACTGCCTCACAAACCTTTTCTTCGCTATTATATAGCCCTCTGATCTGTCCTGTTCTCGAATATTCTGGATAATTTCATTCTCGCGAATTGTCGTGTCTGGCCCGTGATAATTCGTATTTCACACGAATCCTGCCAGTCAACCTTCATGGTTTCACGTGAACAATCATGTTTCACATAAAACCTGACTTTCAGACGTCTCTCAAGAAACTCAAGACATAAATCTCGTGTTATCTCAGTCAGTCAAACATTCGCCTTACATTTATTACTGATGTCATCTGTCGGGCATAACTCAATGGGGAGAAAATGACTCACTACAATCAGGTTTTCAAAACACTGTTGTACAGTAATCAATACTATCAGTTTTTCAAAACACTGTTGTACAGTAATCAATACTATCAGTTTTTCAAAACACTGTTGTACAGTAATCAATACTATCAGTTTTTCAAAACACTGTTGTACAGTAATCAATACTATCAGTTTTTCAAAACACTGTTGTACAGTAATCAATACTATCAGTTTTTCAAAACACTGTTGTACAGTAATCAATACTATCAGTTTTTCAAAACACTGTTGTACAGTAATCAATACTATCAGTTTTTCAAAACGCTGTTGTACAGTAATCAATACTACTATCAGTTTTTCAAAACACTGTTGTACAGTAATCAATACTACCAGTTTTTCAAAACACTGTTGTACAGTAATCAATACTACCAGTTTTTCAAAACACTGTTGTACAGTAATCAATACTACTATCAGTTTTTCAAAACACTGTTGTACAGTAATTAATACTATCAGGTTTTCAAAAATCTGTTGTACAGTAATCAATACTATCAGTTTTTCATAACACTGTTGTACAGTAATCAATACTATCAGTTTTTCAAAACACTGTTGTACAGTAATCAATACTATCAGTTTTTCAAAACACTGTTGTACAGTAATTGTCATACTGTAGTTTTCCTATTAAATGGTTACATTTATGCTGGTTGTCATGCATGAGTAAAGGAGTATCACTGTTAATAAAGACCATAGGTTGACCAGTCATTCACATTTACAGTAATGAAAGCTCAATCTTCTTCTTCTTCTTCACTTGATCTTTTACTGCTTCTGTTGCTCAGGGAGAGATATCAGGTTCAGCTTCTTGCTCTTATGGCAGGGTCAACCACAGACACATCGTGCTGTTGTTAACTTTCTCTGATGTTATATTCCCCTCTAGTAAGCTCAATGAAAATTGTTACTAAATGTTCTTGGGGACTTGTGAAGTTTAGTTCAATAAGTTGGATTAGACAATGTTGTGCATGCTGAAGTCAGACACACACATCTCGGAAATGTGCAACTGCGACACTTTCCTTAAAAGAAATATAATATTCACTGAAAACACACAAAAAGGGAAGATACTCACACTAAAATTGCATGAAAGATACTTATAGGCTGTCATGTTTACTGAAGATTCATGAGAGAGAGAGATTGTCAATCACAATAAAAAAAAAAAAAGACATACTAAGGAAGGCAATTATACTTACTGAAAACACATGAATCTCATTCGCATCGGGATCAAGTGTTGCTCTCTGGGTGAAACCTAAAAGATGAACAATCATTTATAAACAAACTACTACTGTTGAATTCTACACACACAAAATAAAATAAATGAGCAAAACAAGTCAATTATCTTAATTTAATATAATGGCCGTTGTGGAATGTTTTTATTTAGTAGTAAGCCCTATATACCCAATACACATGAAAGCACGGAAAAGCTTTTTTGTTTTTTTAAATCAAGATGTGAAGACTAAGCAAGAAAGACATGGGCTGAACACATTAGCTCGACTTTATTCCAAAATAAAAAGCTTTAGTTAAGATTACATTTAGCAGTGAGCACCATTGCGAAAAGCTTAGTGGAGATGTAATTTCTGAGACAAATACTATGAACACCTGGCATTTCCACAGTAACGATAAATTACTGCTTTGAAAAGTTGAGGAAAGTAGAAGATTACAAAAAATTAGAAGTGAAGGACAAACAAGTCAATATTCTTTGGTCATGTGCTGAGGAAAAAAAGGTGCTGGAGAACATCACAGCAACCAGAAACATCAGCAGTAGAAGAAATAAATGATGCACGATAATCTAAAATGGAGACAAAGAGGAATATAATTAAAAGAAATTATATAGGACACCACTGTGAAGAGAAATGATGGCTGACACTATTAAGCTTTGCACATGATGATGCACGACCTACCAGCCTGGCAAGTGTCCTTTCTGTTGCCGTCAGAAACCGTCTTGATTTCTCCCGTGTCCAGATTGTAGGAGATGAAGTCATTCAAATACTCCTTGGCTCTCTGACCAGCAAATATGTACAAAACACGCTTCACCTGAAATAAAACTGGTTTTATTAACAACCGTTCTGTACAGTACACAAAAAAGGTGTCTGTTATCAACCCGGCAGGTCTCTTTTCAAAAGTCAGGATAATGAAAGACCCCCCCCCCCCCCCCCCCCCCCCCAATCATTAAAAAAAATATTTGGCACTGGTTATTCATGTTGACAAACAAAATAATTTTATCTACTTTAAAAATGAAGATTTTACAAAATTACAACATATGTTGAAGCTTTCATCCCAGAGGATTTAGCATCAGAGGCCCAAGGGGTAGTAAAGAGAGACGTATAATTGGTGCCTTTTTAACATTAATTGGCCTTCTAGGTAGCAACGTATGTGTTCCTTGGCACCAACAGAGTTAAGGGAGCAATCAATAAATATGAACAAAGTGGAACATTCAATGGAATATATTCACCTTGGCCCAAACAAAATGTACTGGGTGTCCCATGCCCTGGCCCCGTGACTTCTAAGACTGAGGGACAAAAAAACTATGATGTCAAAATAACTTTATAAAAGCCATTTGGTTCATAGGAAATACTCCTAAATGGTTTTTTAGTAAACATATTCATATCCTGACCTTCCAAATGCTGTGCAGGTGCAAACACAGGCAATGGCAATAATTAGCTGGAACATACCACTATAGTAAGTCAATAATCTGATGTTTACAGGGGACTGGACCCAACAGGAAGTGTCAGTTTTGTAGCTTCCCAAGGAACATGTTTCAGAAAAACCCACAGTGGCAGAAGGGGCCTTACTAACTCAGTGGCTGGTATGCGTGCATTTCAGCCCATTGGTCATGCATTTAAATCCCTATTAAGTTAGGGATTTTTTTTTTTAATGACCAGGGTTTCTAGGTGGACCCAACTAAGGACATTTCAAGGAAAGTAATGATGCCTGGTCATCATGGCATTATGGGCAAGTCTGAAAGAAAAAAAAAGCTATGTCTACAGAAGGCAGGCAACAGTACTTTTTAACAGGATATAGGAGAAGGACTATTTAACCAACAGGAATGAATTCATGTGAGAATTGCACTTACAGGATGCAGCAACATAGAATGCCCGATACGGGATCTGAAGCTGGGACAATCATCTTTCAACAAGCACCAGGTGTTGGAGGGAATATGGAAGGAGTATAGACCACTAAAAATTGGCTCCTGGATTCTGTCAGCATCCGCACTGGCTGAGCTGAAAAAGATAAATACAAATCTTTAAAATGATGCAAGAGTGAGTAGGTAGCCAGTGAAGGGCTACTGTTGATGACTCTGTCAATTTATTAGTAGACAACTGCACTAATCACCACATCCTATACCTCCTTTTCTCAGAACATCTCTGCCCTCAAACTTTTTTGAACATAATCAAGTGCCATCTTCACAATGAAGGTTGGCTGCAATGCATCTCCCCCTAACTGTACAATGACTGACTATTGTTGTAATTCTTTGATTCTAACTTCCCACTTGTATCACTGCTTACAAGTAGGAAGACAGGCAGCAAGAGATTTTTTTCTTTTTTCTTCTGCCTTCTGTTCCCCCCTCCCCCCAATAGAGCAATTCCCTTAAACCAAGTCGTCCTATCCTTTGCATTTGCTTGCAGGTCATCTTGAACTTGAAGAAAACAAAAATGTCAAACTTAGTCCTCTTTTAGCTGCCCGAAGGCCTGCTTTATCGAGGACGGTTTCTTTGCTATCCGATTTAGTTTGTTTCTGTGTGGCGATCATTTTTGCCTAAGTTCTGGTATTTGCTGCTGGGTCATGTCTGCTTGATCAGGCTTGGCTGGTGTAGTCCGGCCTTTTGGGAGTGGGTGTGGCAGCCCTAAGAAGGGCTGCCATAATTGCCTGGGGCGGCCTGGAACGTGGATGGGCGGGGTCTCATCATGTCTGTCTTCTGCTATCAGGTCTGGCGATCAATGCTGAGCTGTCCGTGAAGATGGTGGCTTGTTTAGTGGGCTCTCTTTTGTGGCTTTAGAACTGGCGATAACCTCTTCTGTTGAGCGTGCCATGTTTCCTTTGTTTTTGCTTTTGCGTGCGGAGTTGATTCAGGGCTGTGTTGAGTTCATCGTAGAATCTGTCAACTTTTTGGCGCTTTTCTATTTCTTCGGGTGGTGGGTCTTTCTTCTCGAGCTCCTTCCAGTCGTAGGTGATCGTAGAGCGGCTGCTGTCTTCTTCCATCCCCAGCTTGTACGGATGCACTTGCTTGTTAAAGTCTTCAAGCATCGCTTAAAGGTCCGCCACGCATATTTTGTTTACTGGTTGCCACTTTTTTAACTGTCTCACTGGCTGTGGCATTAACTTGGTTTTTGCATAGAGTTGACGGCTGCAAGGTAGCCTCTTTTTTGGCCCTCTCTTTCTCCTCTAGGATGTTTCTTGTCTGGGTCACTTCTGTCTGCAGCTTTTGGGTGGCCTCTTCGAGTAGTGTCACCTCAGTCGAGAGTAGTTCCTGGCTTACTCTGATTGTTCTGCTCTTCTTCGGCTGTCTTCTCTTTTTGGGTCTGGATACATGACAGCACGGCTTTGATGTCTGACTTGAGTTATGTCAGAGATTTCCGCCTCCGTGCGTTTCTGGGTCTTCAGTAAGTCTTGGATTAGGCTTCGTAGTCCTGTCATCTCGTCATTTTCCTTGGCTCACTTGACTTCGGATGCTGCTTTTCCCCTTCTGAGCGATTCAATTTCGGCTTTCATTTGCACTATTTAGTTCTGTAGCTTAGTTGTTTCTGCTGTAGCGAGTGAAGGTTGGGCTATTCTTATTCTGGGTGCCTCGTACCTCTTTCTGTCTACTGGCGGAGCGATCCTGTGACAGCAGTGGTTATTCCTCTTTTGATGCCCTTCAGGTACGGGTATCCAAGTACCTAGTGCTGTCACCCCCTGAGCAATTTGAACACTTTCGACTAGGGTTCGGCTTCCGGAAATCTGGATCAACTTTTGCCAGGGGGCGCACTTTGAAATCGTGTGGGCCAGAGCAGTAGCGACACAGCAGGCTGCTGCGGCAGGGCGCGGGAGTGTGCCAGGCCTTTTGCAGCGTGAGCACTGTATGATGTCACCGGTGTAGGCTAGGGCTGCTGCTTTGGTAAACGGGTGCTGTAGGGTCCCTGCGCCATGACTGGAGCGACTTTAGGTGTTGGTTCCACTGTAGGGGAGGCTTCATGTGCTGGCTCCACGATGCATGCGGCATCTGATGTTGGCTTCCCTCTGTTAGGTGAGGGAGGCGCCAAGATAGGGGCGTCTTCCTTCAATGCTGGTGGAGAAGCTGCAACAATGGCGTCCACGTGACTGTGGTTAGACTTGGCCGGCATTTTCTTTGGCTTCGGTGCGGCGGCTTGAGTCTGTATTTTTCCGATGTCGGAAAAAAATGCTGTAAATGGCGATGTGTATCGAAAGCTAGATCGCTGATTAGTCGGCAAGCCTTGTTAAGTATCCTGAAAAGGGTCAAGTATCTAGTTATCAAGAATCGGGCCACAGATGGAGAGTTAGCGATCGAGCGGGAGACGAGAGGTGCTGACGACTGGGCTGTCTGCGCTCGAAGGTCATCTCACATCCTTCTTATTTTTATTAAAATCATTCTCTTCTCCATTTATTTTTGCCTGGCCTGCCTATATTCTTTTGTCCCCATGGATTCCCCATGCTCGTTATATTTCTCAGTGTATGTCCTATCCAACAACAGCATCTTTTCTTCACTTCTTCTTTCACTGATATCTGGTTCTATTCCAAAGCCCCATACAGTAAAGATCCCTTTTCACGCCTTTAGGCAAATCGGGCAATGGGAAGAGCACCCACATTTTTACAGACCAATCGGCACTAGGTAGGTAATGTGGTCAGTATTACTCCCGCCGTCTTTACTTCCCCAGAACATACATCCTGGTACCTGTTTTAGGTTGGGTCGACCTACGACTCACCATACTGTGATAAAAATCCACCCAGCCAGCAGTGGGCTTTGATCGCGGTACTTTGGAATTACGAGCAAAGCCTAAGCCACGGACACAATACGATATACTATTTTCTTCTTTCAATACCATGCAGGAGGTCCAAGAGAAATCCTTTGAAGATCGTTACATGAAAGAGGCCAAAAATGTTAGATGGACTTCATCCATGTTTTTGAAAAGATTACACAGAATAGAATGGAATGGATGGACAGACTACAAGTGCTCTCTCTTGGTGTGTGTGTGTGTGTGTGTGAGCGTGTGTGTGTGAGAGAGAGAGAGAGAGTTATTTAGACAGAACGAACAAATAAACAAATTTTATTTTCAATGGTTAAAAATCGGACATGTGGGCCCATCTAACATTCTGCCCCCTCACTCCAATCCTTGAATTCCAGAGAAATTTGACTAAAAAGCTCAACAAAATGGGAAAGAGGAAAACGTGCACAAAACAACAACACGTAACGTTTCGGCCGGGCAGCCTTTTTCAAACACAAGTGAAAGACACAAACGAGGAATAGAGAGTATGTAGATCACTCCAATCCTTGCATAGTTATTTATTTGAACATAATTTCATAGTTAATAATAATAACAAATATTCACAACATCTAAGTCTAAGCTGGAATGTGCTCTAATTATACTTAAATTACTGAATGTTTTAGAAGTATAGTAATAAACCTAATCCAAAAAAATTTTTAAATTATTCTTATAGGGTGCATAATATAATCATCATCATATGCCCTGCTAACTGGCGTAGGCACTCATGCGTCCCCACAGATCACAATCCCTGGTTGCCTGGAACAGCTCTCTTGAACCCTTAATGCCATCGTTTTAGCCCATCCAGCACCATCTCTCTTGGTCTGCGAATACCCCCTTTTCCACTGATCTTTCCAGTTGTGATGATGTTCTATAATGTCTCTCATTATGTGGCTAAAGAACAATATTTGTCTCTTTCTTATTGTTGTACATAGAGATCTACTTTCATTATTTTCTTTCAAGCAAGGGTTGTTAGTTATTCTGGCAGTATAAGGTATTCGTAACATTCGTCTCAGAAACCACATCTCTGTTGCTTCCAAATTCTTCTTAATTTGTTCACTGGTATTCCAAGATTCGATGCCATACAGCAGAACAGATTTTCTGTAACATTTTAGCACCCTCTTTCTGACATTACATGCATAAGATATTTTTCATTTTCTGAAATGCCGCTTTCGCTTGACCTATTCTGCTTTTAATCTCTGTCATACATTTTCCATCTAATGATATGATTGTTCCCAGATATTTGAATTTATTTATTGACTTGGTTGTCTTTTTCCTTCAATTTAGATATCACAACGTGGAGTTATCTTCTTCTTTGATATAACCATTACTTCCATTTTCTTAATATTCAATGAAAGTCCTTTCTTAGCACTCTCCATTTCCATGATATCCAGCAGTTGTAAATCAGTTGCATTTTCAGCTATCAAAACTGTATCGTCTGCATAACACAAACTGTTTAAATTGTATCCTCCAACTCTTACTCCTGCATGCTCTTAATTTTCCTCAAAATTAGAAATATCGTCAACAATTAGCTGGAATGTGTTCGACTGGAGAGACAGACATACACACACAAACTGGGAAGATGATGATGACAATTCTGTGCAGGAACCAGTTAGAGATTTAGATCAATTAATATCAGTTTTACCTCATTAACACTCTCCCTCCAAACACATAAATTGTCTGATGTTCAACATCAATAGCCATCTGATGATCAAAGATCAGCCTTGGGCCACCCATTGCTGCAGTGTCTTCTGTAATGAACGTCCACTGGCGGCTCTCTATGTCATACATGTGGAAGTCGCACTTTGAAAAAAAAAACAGGAAATTTGTATGCACAGGTTTAAAGGAAACATTTACAAAGTAAGGAAATCCCTTCCGGTCATTCCAGTGTCAGTTCCGAGCCATTTTGGGTGGGGATATAAACTAACTGACCCCTAAAAAGGATGTCTAAGGCATACAGAACGCGGCTATGCGGGTCATTCTGGGTTACACTAGAGACAACCCAGTGGTGTGCATGTGATACATACTTGGTTTGTCGACTGTTGCAGGTAGGCACAAAGTGCTGCAGGCGAAGTCATACAGACAACCCTTTGCATGAAGCTCTAGGTGCAGTTAAGAGTCATGGAAGGCTCAGGCAAAAGACACAATCAGACAGTTTTGCATCCTTGAGAACACTAGGTGAGGAGAGGAGTGGGTCAAAGTGCCACCTGAACAGTCAGACTTGTGTAGGGTCACAATCACACTGAGCCGGAAATGCAGAGACTGGCCAGCAGGTGCCACAGAGGTGGAAATTCAGCAATTAATTCAAGATAATGCTCGCTCAGAGGATCTGATCATTTACACAGACGGTTCAGTGTCAAGAGGCAAAAGAAGTGCTTGGGGTTTCTTAGCAAAAGTTAACCCTTTCGCTGCTATGGACGTCTTTTCCCGATTTCCCGTACGCTGCTACGCCCGTCTTTGGACGTTATTTTTTTTCTTGACCCCCAGTGCTATGGACGTCCTAAGCCGTTTTTGGACTTTTCTTACAGATTTCTGTTACCTCGTATTTTATTGGCTGAAGGGCAATATACATTAGCTATATTTATATTAAACTGACCCATTTACATATGATTAAAAGCACTGGCACGTGCTTTCAGGTGTGTTTAAGGTGTGTTTACTGCATTTTGCGTTATCCCGTTGCTTTGTTTACCGTGACAGCGTGGTCGGTGATCTGTGTATTTTGTGCCCTGATATATATTTGTGCTTTTGGATTATTCTACACTTAGTACAAAATGGCAAGAAACTTGTTAAAGTTGATGAAGAATTGATGGAGTTTCTGTCAAAAGTGATAGCGACGATGACTTTGAAATGTGTACTTCTGACAGTGAACAAGAAGATTTGACTAGGCCATCAGTATCGACTGCTGAAACCGGCGTGACAAAAAAAAGCTGTTTGCCTGTCCGACGTCCTCATCGTCGGAATAAGAGAGCAGCGACAATGAAGCGCCATCAAAACGGCAATAAATTGATCAGTTATCTTGATAAACCGATGATTTTAAACCAGTAGTGCATGATTTTGATGACTCCAGCTCTATCTGTATTTCTGCTACTGTAAATTCAAACAGTTAAGTCACTAAAAAATTTTCGTCTTTCCCGATGGACAGACACAGATTCGGACGAACTAAAAGTTTTTTTCTGTCTGTCTGCTAATGCTTAGAACAAAGAAACTCAAAATAGAGTACTTGAGCAAATACTGTTTGCTAAAAACTCCCGTAAAATAATGTCGAGGGACATATTTTTACTATTGTTGAGAATCTCAAACATTTCTTAGACAACAGTGCTCATGCAGGCGGCGATAGACTACAAACTTAGACACATTATTGAAAGTCTGCGCACATCGTTCATTATGATCATTTACACAGCGCAATGCGTCAAGCGTCAAGTATAGTGTAATTGGTATCACGTTCGCCTCAGAATCGGAGGGTCGTGTGTTCAACCCCCAAAGTTTTTTTTTTTTTTTTTTTTTTAATTAATTGTAAATTTTCCGTTGAGTTCCTGCTACTTTTCAGCAACGGACGACTTGAGTATATTATTATGAATATTTTTTTATTATTATTTTGGTATGTAATAACATGGTGACTACAAGTAAATATGATTAAAGTGGCAGCCGTGGTAGGTTCGTCAATCAAATGTTGGGATACGGGCTGGGAACAGTTCCTCCCATTAATCCCCCCCCCCCGTTAGTCAAGTTTGTGAGGCACCATCGTGCCCCTGACTTGTCACCACTCGGACCAACAACACAACTCCCCAGGGTAAAAAATTTTAGGTGAACAAAACATAGCCCTCACCGCGGACGCATCTTTTGCGTTTAGAGGATAGAAAAGTATTGCGCACAGCAGAGACTTTTTTTTTCACATTGCTTAGCACAGGGAGGACAACTATTTCCGGGAACGTAGCAGCGAAAGGGTTAATGGTCGACGTTTGGTGCAGGAGAGCCTTGCATATGATACCACAGCATCCAGCTTAAGAATGGAGGTGGAGGCGGTAACTGCAGCTTTCCGCTGGCTGAAAAATACGACACACATACACATTGTGATTGTAACTGACTCAGAAAGCATGCTGGGAAAGATCAGAACAGGTATGCTTCGTGCAGAGTGGCATGTTTCACTGCGGAGGACACGGGTAAGGAGTATTGTCTGGATTTTTGTACCGGGACAGGCTGGTGTGTTGGGAAATGAACAGGCGGACAGACTGGCTGGCTCTGCACAACTTGGTGGAATACTGATGCATGGTAAGGCAGATGTGGTGAGGAACCAACAGTCTGCATACAAATATGTCAGATCTGTAAAATGGATGTGCACACACTCAAGTTCTGGACTGAATGTTGACATCACAGCATTTGGGACACTCCCATAAGCGCTCTTCAGCAGCAAGCAAAGAGTTCCAATTCTGATGGCATCCGTAACTGTTTGATTGTATATCCATTTCCCCTTTTCCTTAAGTGTTGAAAGTCAGACAAATCTCCTGGGTTATCAGTCTCCTCAGACCGTAATGATCTATTTGTACCTCCACACTGTTCACTTGCTCCCAGAAAGCCCTCACATCATCTAGCTTGTCACACATCAATTCACCACCAAATGGTGCAAAACCGGGCAGTCTATCTGCCTGCTCATTTCCCAACACACCAGCATTACCTAGAGAAAATATCTAAATGACGCTAACTACCCAGGACCTCTGAAGTGATGCTTGCCACTCTGCATGCAGCATGCCTGTCTACACCTTTCTCAACATGCTCTGTGAGTCAGTTACAATCCCGACATGTGTGATAAGCTGAGTCTCAAGCCAGCGGAAGGCAGCAGTGACTGCCTTCACCTCCATTCGCAAACTAGACTATGTGATATCATATGCAAGACTTCGTTGCACTAAGCCACGTCCATTTGCTTTTGCTATGAACCCCCAAGCACTTCGTCTTCCCCTCAAATTCCGGAACAGGACTAGAGTCCAGAAGTGGATGAACAACCAGAACTTTCTGCCAAAGAAGAATAAGAAGACTCCAGCACTTCTGGCTTTCATGATCAATGTTCGTTTTAGGATTTCTCTCAAAGGTCTTTGTTTTCTAAATCTATTTGTTTCTCATTTTAGTGTCTGTTTGATAAATCATTGCTCGCTTCTTCTCCAGACATGCCCAATACAGCAGAATCTTCTTTATGTTGTGAATGTCTCATTTAGATTCAATCACATTTTAAGATATGGCATATATATATACCAAGAATGAGATGAAAAGAAAACTTCTGATGAAACTCCACAACATGATGTCTATGTTTGTGGTGGCCAGAACAGCAAATATCTTCCTCGACATCTGAAGCAGTTTAAAAAAAAGGGAGAAGTGAAGAGGAAGAAAAAGGGAGAATTTATGTACAGTCAATTCTGACACATGAAAGTTAATCATGGATATTCAGCAGCCCAGCAAAGGAAGCTTGGAGCAATATAACATCTTTCACCTTTACGTCCCATTAAATTTCTTGGTACCCAATATTTACAGTCAACTGAACTCAGCTACAAAAAACTGTGCACCGACCTTTAATTTGTCAGGTATTCTCATGGATGGATCCAGGTAACGTCCTAATGTGAAAATTTGCTTCCGTTCATAATCTAGGCACATTTTATGGCAAGAGCGAGCTGAAGGACCACCCTAAAAAAAAACACAAGCAAATATAGTTTAGTAAGTATTTAACATGTTTTAATCCATAGCAAGAAGACAGGTCAAGCAAGAGTTAATTATCTCTTTTGGTTTTTGCCTGCAAAGGTTTTCTCAGTGGGTTGTAGGGTCCTTTTGGGGAAGGGAGGGGGGGGGGGGGGGGAGTATTAGACGCAGTTCTGCTTAATAAGCACCTCTTTTTGGTATAATTAATGTATAATTTTTGTCTTGTGAATCCTGGAGGACAAACATTCTGTTTATAATGTTAACATGTTTTTCCACTCTTCTTCTTCAGTTTCACCGGCTGTAAACAGTGATGGAAAGTTCTGGTTGTTCATCCACTTCTGGACTCTAGTCCGGTCCTACAAACTCAGTGTTGTGTGCACATCTGTTTGACAGGTCTGACTCATTTGTATGCAAACTGTTGGTTCTTTGCCTCTCACGCAGATGTACTCCGACTTTGAAGGAAGCTTCCAATTAGTCTACTCTGACAACATGCTTCTGGGCAGGCAGTGGGTCTATTCTTGTTTTCCCCACAATGGGGCCCCTGGAACCCACACGGGAAGTTTTCCTATTGTGTCCTCATCTGTTGCTTCCCAAGAATTTGTTCAGATTTCTTTATGAGCTCCAGACTAATTCTGTCATTTCAATCCAAATAAATGTTTGTTCGAACCCTTCCCTCTTTCTAGATAGTGTTGTTTTGTGCTATGAGGAGGCATGCAAAGCACAGCCCATGGTATAGGGGAGTGTGACTAGCAAGATCATTTTGCACAAAGGACAAGGAAAGTCTTCCCCGATTAGACCATGGGGTGTCCAGACCACTGTTGCCAATTCATGCATATTCTCAGAAGTCAGCTCTGAACCTACATGCTTATACTCAGAAGTCAGCTCTGAATCTACATGCCTATACTCAGAAGTCAGCTCTGAACCTACATGCTTATACTCAGAAGTCAGCTCTGAATCTACATGCTTATACTCAGAAGTCAGCTCTGAACCTATCCGCATTCATTTTCTCTTTTATCCATATTTCCTTCCTGGTCCACTCCTCTCAATGCAACATGGCATCATATTCCAATGAATCCACCTCAATACATGTATCATTCATGTCCAGCATGCACATATCTTTATATAATAGGGAGTCTGACCTCAACATCTTCTACCCATCTGTAACTCATCAGAGGATGTCATTAGGGACTCTACCATCCTCCAAGTGACAACAGTTTGTAATGTATTAGTAACAGTTACCAGTCTCTAAGGATAATTCAAAGAAAAATGAGCAAACAATAAAAAAGTACATTTAAACAAAAAAAAGACATAAACAACAGATCACACAGTTTAATGCCCATCATATTTCACTGTATTTTATCAGGTCCACATTACAGTAACAACTGAACATAATGAAAGCAGATATATACATATTTACAACTGAAATACAAAATCAACCACATTTAAAAGTATTGTATTTCCCTAAGTAAAAGACACACTTATTTTCCCATTTTCCAAAAAATATAGGGTCAACAAAAATCTGTGTTTTGTATAATGGTACTAACTCTTTTTTTTTAAATTTTATTTCCGGCCCCAAAAGGTTTATAACCATGTCTATTTGTTCACACAAATGTGGATGAAAGTGAATTACCATTACTGCTTTAAGAAATAAAGGACTCTGCTATGGTCAACATACACAGAATTCAAAATGCACCATCCTTGTGGTCAGAGTTCAAAAGGTGCCATGCGTTGTATGAGGGTTGGTCTCTTCTAACAGTCATGTTTTTTAAATGATTATGTTGTTGTTCGTATTCTCATATTAATTTTAATTTCGAAAAAATTAAAATTAAAGATACTCACATCTTTCTCTATGTTATGTGAAATGCAGGACCAGGTGTGGGACGGTAAGTGGTAGGACCAAAAATCTGCCAAGTCGTGGTTGCCATCCCAACCTCCAAACATGTAGATTGTCTCTGTGAGCACATCTATGCACATCTGATGACCTCCTCTCATGCCTGGTCGAGTCTCTGAATTAAAATTAACACTTTTTAGAACCAGAAGTTCTAGAGCCCAGTTGGGGTGGGAGGAGAAAGGGGGTGAATAGGTCCACTGTCGCCTAATAAGCATGTAAAAAAAAAAGGTGAGACTGCAAAGAAGTCTGTAGAAATTGGACACATTGGGCAAAAAGGTGCAGAAATTACAGCCTAGTTGTAAACTGCAAAATAATATTTCAACCGGCCTTTTAAATGTTAACAAAGATAAAGAAAGAAAAAATAAGGAGAAGAAGAAACCTGAGTTTTGGCACACTATCTGTCAGGCAGATGAACTCCGACTTCGAACGAAAAATTAGTAGACTTTTACGACATTCTTGCCAAGGACGGAGTGGGTCGACCCCCCACACCCTAAAGGAACCTATGAACCCAGACAGGGAAAATTAATTCTAACCCACAGTTTTGTTATGCACTGTTCCCTACTGCTGTCTGCATGATTTGGCCTTGCAGCATTTCAGTTGACACCAAGGCTTCCATCAGTGTCCTGCTTATTCCTTATCCTGGGTGAGGACTATTCCAATTTGTAGCTTCTTTCTCTTCTTATCAAGTCAAGACGATCAACTTCTCTACAACAGGCTGTATCCAACAGGGCTCAGTATCTCTCCACAGAAAGGCTAGCCACCTGACAAGGGCATGCACAAAGCAGGAACTCTGAATAGGAGTTTTACACGCTTTCAGGCATATTATAGTGCTAGGTTTATATTTTATAGACCAATCAGCAATCAGTGGGTGATGTGATCAACATCATGCCGGCTGCCTTTACTTCCTAGTAATTTACCTGGTACCCATTAAAGGCTGGGTCGACCTGGGAGCCAAGGTCATTTCTGAAAAATGTCCGGCTACGTTATGAATTCCGTAACTCTCTTAATAATTTCCAGAGACGATACAAATTGTAATCTGAACGGCACAGTCCATGAAATAAAACCATGATGTTTAGAGTTTGAAGCAAACAGCGTACAAAATCAGTCACAGAGACCTAATCTTTCTTTTTTTCTTCTGTTCTGATGTACACCAAAGAAGCTGTCTGTCTTTCCCCTCGAAGATTTGTCATGTCTCACCCATGTTTAAGCTTTTTACAAAACATGTCAACATTTCTTAAAACAAATCATATTTTGGAGATGTCTGAGAAGGGAGCAGGAGTGACCAGAAAAGATGAAATCAGGAATGAGGTCATAAGAAGAAAAAAACTGCTACAGAATCAATTTTAAACTGCATAAAAAGACAGTAAATCAAACGTTTGCCCACTTAGAGATTGCCTTACAAGGCATACATACACCAAGAGGGGAGGACGTGGAGAACAAGGTAGACCAAGACAAGATGGAAAGATAACATCAGAGAAACTCTACAACAGCATAAGGTGTCTATGATTGAGGTGGCCAGGAAGCAAGAAGCAGAACTTTATATCTCCCCCAACACCTGAAGTGGTAAAAGAGGAAGTGAAGAAAAAGGAGAATCATACTTCAGCACTGTGCAAGGATTCCCCTCGTTTAATCTACCTAAAGAGGTTACCAATTAACAACAAATCAACAAGCATCACTTACTGCTGACTGGTTCAATGGCCGTCCATTCAGGTTTGTAGTCTTGCTGGCTGATGTACTGATCAAACATGCCCTCTGTAGATTGTTGTGATACACATTGGTTACTGAAGTGAGAACTCTGTTTATTCAAGTTAGCAGCTAATGCCTACTCTGCCTATAGTAAACCATAAAAAAGGGGTTAAATTCCTCATTAAAAGTTTAAAAGTGAATAAATTCACTCTCATGAATCTAAGAAGAAATTATTAATTACTAATTGCAGGCTTACGCAGTATTAGTAATCCAATGGAGAATGGCACTGCGAGGAGTTACAAGGAAATCTGGCCCACGCTCGACATTTAGGGGAAAGGCGAGACAGTTATACAATCAGACAGTTACTGGTACCATCAGAATTGTAACTCTTCACTTGCTGCTGAAGATGGGGATGGAGCGCTTATGTGGGTGTCCCGAGTGCTGCAATGTCGATTCTTAATTCAACATTAAACATTCAGTAATATGGGTACCAGGATGGGCTGTCCTGGGAAAGTAAAGACAGCCGGCGTAATGCTGACCACATTACCCACCGAGTGCTGATGGTCTGTAAAAATATGGGACGCTCTGCCCATATGCCCGATGCGCCGAAAGGTGTGAAAAGGGGATCTTTACTTTACTTTTTTAATCCAAAAATTCAAAAAATAAGATTGACTAAATTAACTATCAGAAATACAATAATGAATGCAAACAAGGACACTTTTGGCTACAAATAGTCACTATTCGTTTTATGGTACCTTTTCTCTCTTTCCAGGTGATAATGTTATATTTTCTATAGCCCATGGTGATGCCAAGTGTGACTAGTAAGACCTGCTCACACTAACAAAAGTTCTCGACAACAATAAAAGCATTAGATTTCAGAACCATTGTTACCACTGCATGTACAGAGATTTTCCAGGTTTCAAGAACCGCTATGAGCCCTGTGGTCTGCATACAAATAAGCTAGATCTGTAAAAGGGATATGAAGGCAAAACTCAAGTTCAGGAACAAGGCCCAGGTCCAGAAGTGGACAGAACAGACAGAACTTTCCACTGGAGTTCAGAGGTGGTAGAAGAATACATGTCTAACTCTTTATTACATGCGGGTTTCGATAAAGGATGTCAAAAACAGTAATTAAGTTGACCAGTAAGATAAATAAATACATTACCGTTGCTGGCTTGGGTGATCAACTCTTCACAAGCTTTAAAATCTCCATTGATCACCTGCAGAAATAATACATGACCAGTTTTATGATATTATGGGCAGAAACATGGAGAAGGGCTTAACTAGTATTCCTTACAGGATCATCTTCACTGCACATCAGGCATACACACAAGAGCTCCCATCTTCTCCTATGCATGTTTCTTATTGTGTTTCTTGTGTGCTGATCTCCTATTCTGTATTGGTTTATGTTGGAATCTTTTGTCTGCTTTTCATGTCAAACTGCTAAGACCGGCATACCTCGACTTCACATCCAAGGAACCCAGGACTTCTGGGCCAACAGCCTGCACTGCCAAAGCTTACATTAAAAAAAACTGCCAGTACTGTTTGTATTTATGACTTTTTAGAGCAGCTTAGGACATGGGGGTCTTGAGCCCGAGGATATAGGGCCAAATGCATCACCGTACTGAGGATTCGAGCATAGGTCTCCAGAATGGGAGCCTAGTGTTTTTAACCATACAGCCAGCTGCTCCTCATTTCCCAACCAACTGGTTTTAGGTATTTCACTATCAATACTCCAGCCCATGTGCAGAACGACAACAAACATAGTATATGATTGGATTCTCAAGCAAAAACCATCACTTAACGTGACATGCTACCCTAAGAAACAAACAAACAAATAAACTAACCAGAAGTGTGTGCAGTCTTGTCAGTATGGGATGCTCCAACTGAACATTTGTTCTTTTACTCAAAGCCTCATAGGCCTCTGTATAAGAACGCTGTCTGAAATGTTTTAGGCACAGTCTAATGGCTTCCTTTTCCCGATACTGGAAAAAAAAAAATGATCAAATACATGCATATTAAATAATCTAGCTTTCATATGCTGTTTTGTAATTCTAAACACAAATTTATCAACTTAAGGTTTAGCTTTGTTAATTCGACTCGTATTGTTATCTGCTTATACAAAAACAATCAAATACAAAGACTCTGAAAAGACCTGGAGTAAAAAGAAAGTTGCTGAAAGATAAAGAGACAAGTAAAACATTTTTTCCATAAAAAGGCATAACAAAAACTTTACTGTAGGGAAAAGTTTAGGGCACATGAGCAAGAGGCAGACAGAAATACAAGTAGGTGGGTAACATCAAGCGATAGATGAATAGTAAGCAGTCTGAGAGACTGTACATCCAAGGTGAAAGACAGAGAGCATTGGAAATCCACATTTTGTTGTGGACAAGGCACCCAAATGATGACTGATTGATTATAACAATCTCTCTCAATTCCAAGAATTAAGCTTACATTTCTGACAGCCTTAAAATCTTGCTCCAATGACCATACCAACATCTCATTTTCAAATATCACTTTTTAATAGTTTAGGCACTGCTAACCTAACAGGGATGAATATCCTGTGCTATTTCGCCTAATATGTGCAATTATTCCCCAAATTGTTTTTATCATCTCCTAGTAGACTGGCCTGCTGGGACAGCAGTAAAAAATTAAGATGCGAAGAGCGCCATAACTACTAACCATCTTCAGCAGCTGGGAATTCAGGAATCCAAAACAATAACTTAGGTCCAAACAGGTTACTGCCTTGGTTAAACACACACAACCCCCACATATATTTAGAGCATGTGTAATTCTAGTTCACATATATTGTTCTCTAGGGTAGTAGCGACAGTAACAGTTTAAACAATGATTCCTGTTCAACCCATGTGGGTTACAATTGGGACAAATAAGATTTTTTTCTATTCTGATACTGTATGTTGATCCTCAAAAATCACTGCTGGTTATTTAATACTGCACTCTTATGTGTTAACTGTAACATATTGTAGGAGAACTGTTTTTTCCCTTCAGATTAATGTATTTCAAGTGTACATTTTAAATAACAGTAATAAATATAACCAGTAATCATAATCTATGAAAATATTTGAAGTGATTTGGAATACCCTTACTCAGTGTTCCTGTGACGTACTGCTAACTACATCCCTTTAGTTCTCTAGATATCTATCCCCACAATGTTTTCTATTGAGGCTTATTTCAGTGGGTCATATATACTCATTAAGGAAAGTCCTTTGAAGGCGATTTTTTCTGCAACATAGTAAAAACTGTTCATCCTCATCTGGCAAGGTCATTCAACTGGCCGCCGAGAGCCGCTGCCCACAGGGGTCTTAAAATGTGGCCTGCTGATCACTGTTAATTGTAATGTATTAATGATCTTTTCTATGCTGAGGCTTAAGACTTGTAACACAATCATCATTGTGAACATTCTGGCCCTGAGTAAATTTAGCTGAATAGTCTGCTCTATGGTGTTATGTAGTTCATGCATTGGCTGATATTCACCTTACGTGATCTATGGGAGAAGACTAAGACACTAATGAAGATATATATGTGCAATGAAAGTGATCCCTAACCAATGCAACTACATAATTATTAAGTTTTACACAGTAATGTTCTTCACAAATATAAAAAAAATGTATGACTGCAACAAACTCTGTCAGCATCCCTGGCTTGATGGTCACGAAAATGGTTTACAATTTAAAAATATCCAGTTTTTAATTCGGCTGCAGGTGATTTACCAGCAGACTACCTTGCGTTCATTCTGACAATAGTATGAAGAAAGCAATGGTAAACTTCTTTCTTCTTTTGATGTTAGGCAGTCACGGCATATCAAGCAACTAAGCATGCTCGGCTGCCGATCGTCTGATAAATTGCAATGACTAGTGGCATAAGCAAATATTGACAAAAGAAATTTACCACTGCTTTCTCCACACTATTGTCAGAATGAATGCAATGTGGTCTTTATAATGGTAAACTACTATACATAAAACTGCCTCAGCTCACAGAAGCCAGTTTCAGGCCTCAGAAGTGAGGTATGTGTGAAAGGTGGTCCAAGTGACTAAAAGGGATACAGTTTTTCAGTCAGGCAATACGACATGATCTTGAAACCCAGGCCCTACAAACCTGAGTGGATCTGTCACAGTAAGAATGGTTTGGACATGTATGCAGAATGGGAGAGAATCAGCTACCATAGCAGGCATGGGAGGCCAAGAACCAGGGAATCAGACCACCAGGATGACCCAGGGTTCACTGGGAAGACAACATCCAACAGTCCATGACTGACAGAGGACTGGAATGGAACAAAGCCAAAACGAAAACTGCTGATAAAGAAATCTGGCAACCTTTCTGGCAAAAGAAGAGGAGTGTCTAAGTAAGTTTAAAACTGCCAACAAATGCTGGACTTGGGTTATAATATCCTGCAAATGATACACAGTTAACTTTAATGAACTCTGAAAACTATTTTCCAGACCTCTTAAAGTGTTTTTAGACTTTTATACACATGGCCAAAGCTGTGTGTTTCATTTATTTCAAGAATAATTTACAAGACTTTGAAGATAAATAAAGTGACTTACACGATTGTAAACCTTTATAGAATGTTTGACTTCATCCCATTTGGTGTTGCCGGCCAGCTCCACATACCAAATACTGAAGTTAAAGCTTGGGCCCCAGGCTTGAAGTGGGACTAGGCAATCAAACAAATAACCAATTCAAACATTTTCCTTCAAGATGTTAACTGCTGCTGTTTAAAACATGGGAATAAATATATTCTTCTTTTTCAGCATTCCCAGTCCTTAAGGTTCATTGCTGCAGATATCACCCGCTTCCACTCATCTCTTTGGGATCTTTTGGGATCTTTGTTACCATATTATCTATCATGCTTTTCTGCAATTAATCTATATTAGCAATCATTTTTCCTTTATCCCTATTCCATCCCTGGTCCACCCCCCCCCCCCCCCTAACCCCCCTTTCCCCATGCAACATGGTTCATCCACCTCAATACCTGTATCAGTCATGTCCCATTTGCACTAATCTTCATATTGTAGAACCAACAGTTACTGGGAGATAGTGATTAGTGATGCTGTAGGTGACTGAGAAATGGCGTGGTGGCTGGATACATTGTACCACAGACAGTCATGGCTACAAAATCCAATGAAGTTGTAAAGCAATGAAATTTGTGCAAGACAAAAAAAAAATGATAAGTATAGGGTGACCAATAATCTGAATAAAACCTAGAACCAACATGGAAAAAATACTAATTACTTGGCTTTAGTGTTTAGATAATGATTTGCTGACATGACTAATAATCTTCTTAGCGTTCACCAGCTGTAAACTCCAACATAAAATTCAGGCTGCTCATCCATTTCTGGATTCTGGTCTTGTTACAGAACTTGAGTTTTGCGTGCACATCTGTGTTACTGATGTGGCTGATCTGTATGCAGACTGTTGCTCCTACAGCAAGGCAAGAGATTTGAGTCCTGAAAAATTTTACAGCCTAGCTGTAAACCACAATACAATGTGCCATTGGCCTGTTTAAGGGCCCAAAAAAAAAGAAGAAGAAGAAATGTTAGGAAAAGGTTTAGCATAAAGTGAAAAGTGCTTGAATCTTTAGAAGTAGAAGCTTACCTATTTTAATAAAGCTGCATGGTAACGGGCTCCCTTCAATGTCATAGTGGAGTGGGAACATCTCAGGAATATGATCATTCTTCAAACCCCTGTCAATATAATCATCAAGGTGACAAGTAAATCCAAACTGGCAAGAATGTTTTCACTGAACACATTCATACTAGCAACTGGAAAACTCGGAAATGGAAAAGGTGCACGCAAATACAACATAATGTTTTGATCACAGTCTTTATCAACGGGGTACTAAATTAAACAGACTGTAACATGAAAACAACAAAAAAGACAACAGAGCTTGTGAACAAAGTGAAATAATAAGCACAGGCAACTTTAAAACTATTGGTCACATTTTTTTTTTAAATAACTAAAATGCTTAGTAAGTGTGGTAATACATCTGAGGAAAAGCGTGAAAAAAATCCAAGAATTTGCAATTAAAAAAAACATTTTTTTCAAGTTTTTTTCATCCAGGATTGCAGTCCATAGCATTAAAAGACACCTCAAGAAAGAGAACAGGTACACATGCTGGAAACCCTGTGCAGACGTATAATACAGTTTGCATCAGGGCACCACTAAACAGTTACAAAGTAACATGTAGTCCAATGCGGATATGTTGCACGAAAACAGGCACATCCATCCATTTATGAAAACAAAACAAAACACACAAAAATCAACCTTATTCAACCTACTGAGAGCAGTTTCAGCTATAATTGTGGTTCTCCTATCTGAACTAATTTTAATCCCTGCACGAGACATATCCCACAGTTGTGGTATTTTATGTTCCTACACTGGTTGGGGTTCCCTTGTATCTCCATGTTTACAAATTCCTGATAAAAATTTCATACTGACATTCAATTCAACTTGTTTTTGAAGATTTATATATAATACATTGCTTTCTTTTTTTTAAATAACTTCATTTAACTATTTTGGCAACGATCGGTGGGCCACTTGATAGGCCTCCGTGGGCCAGATTTGGCCCGCAGGCCGCCAGTTGAATAGCCCTACTCTGCAAGAAAGTTGGTGAGAAAGGTCAAAGATATAGGACTGGATTCAACACATGATATCAAAAGGATAGAATAGAATGGAGAAATCAACTGTGCACCCTATGATGTGGTGTATAAACAGAGCAAAAAAATGATGATACTTTAAAAAAAAAAAAAGTTCAAAACTGGTTACCAACCCATCAAGTAACTCAACCATGTGCTCCTCTGTAAGCCCTCCGTACACCTTGAACTTTCGAAGGTTGCAGACGTGAGTCTTTTCATACTTGCCAAATAAAATTGACTTGACAATTGCTGGTTTTTCAAGCTTTAAAGTAAGAAACTTTGGAGGGAAAATAGAAAACAACATTAAGTTTCATTTCAAAGGCTTGGTAAGATGTACACTGCAAAAAATAAGAGACAATGTGATTTGTGTATTTCAGTTAGAAGGATTCAAGTTTTGCTTCATGATCTGTTGATGTAAATTATGTAGTACTGACACGATAAAGCAAAATGTCATTCATTCTCCTGTCGTGCTATTATATGCCACACAGGTCTGGGAGCCTATTCCACCATAGTTTTATCCTGTCCAGTCAGTCTGATATCATGGATAGAATCCAGTCTATCACCTTCAGTCTCTTTCATCAACATTTGTTTTAAAGTGTTTTTTTTTTTTTTGGGGGGGGGGGGGGGGGCCCTCCATAATCTCTTTATTCACCATTTCAATGCCTGTTTAGTAATTCTTTGCTCGTTTCCTCTCAGGATGTGTCGAATAAATTGCCATCTTCTCTGTCTTATAACTGTTAATACCAGTGACAGTGGTTGCCCAGAGATTTCTGTTGTCTTCACCTCATTTTGTAATCACCTCATTTAAAAGCAAAACATGCCAGTCAATAAGCTATGCAAAATACTGTGTGTGTATTCATTTAAATTAGTTTGCTCAAACAGAATTTATTGTTTTAACAGAGAATACAATCTCTGCCAACAGAAACTATATGATGGCTGACTTATTAAGAGTGGTAATGCTGCCATCTTGGTACACCACGTTTACCTCTACAGATTTTATATCATATGGAACAACTACATTCTATAAAAAAATGCACTCAATATTCTGTAACATAAGTGTTATATAAATATCATTAAATGTAAAAATGGATACTGTAAAGAAAAAAGTAAAGTACCACTGCAGAGGCATCATGGGCCCCTGAAAAAACCAGTGTGCTAGGTCAATTATGACAACTCATAAGAATGGACACTTTTTTTTTCTGGCAAGAAACTTGACTTACAAAAAATTGACCAGATTAGCATAGGTCCTCTATGACAATCACTCACAGGAATGATATTTGTATTTCTGGCAAGAAACCTGACATACATTTTTATTTCTGGCAATACACCTGATATACACTGATTATTCTTGTGGGGTCCCCGGCAAGTGCCCAGCGGGCCCATGGGTTAACAACACTGGTCCACAATGCCTCTAGTATATGGTGTTGAACCCTTATTTTCACAGATTAACAACCAGGTAATGATGAATAATGAGATCAACATCGTTCCAGCTGCTTATACGTCCTGTGGCATTCCCTGGCATTTATTTTAGGTCAAAGTCATAATATTAGGTTCCCCCTGTGGGTTCCAGGGCCCTATTGTAAGGAAAACAAGATTAGACCCACTGCCTACCCACAAGCATGTCGTAAAAGTCCACTAATTGGGAGCTTCCTTTAGTCAGGGTGCACCTGCCTGCAAGGCAGCTGCATGCAAATGAGTCATATTTGTAAAACAGATGCAAACCGCAACACTCTGGAAAAAAAAGACTAAAAGCCCAGAAGTGGACGAAGAACCAGAACTTTCTGCCAGAGTTTACAGCCGGTTAACGCGAAGAAGATAATCTTAGGTCAATTATAAACATCCACCTGAAAGTATATCAACAATAAATCAACTATACCTGAGGAGGATTGTTTGAATCAGACGACCACCTTGATAACTGATCACTTGGAAGGTCAAAGTAAATATTCCTGAAAAAAAACAATAGACAAACAACAGGTTATAAAATGTTCTTGTAGAAAAGGGACTATTTTGACCAGTTTGGCATGTTAACAGGGATTTATCAGACTGAATGGTGATAACTATATGGGAAAAGGAGGCTTTATAAACAAAGAAATACCTGGATGCAAAATTTGATTGACTGGAGAGACCTGAAATACAAGTATCCAGGCATGGAAAATTCTTAGCAAAAAACTAGAGTAACCGTGACTCAAAGTATTATGGGACTACAGACTTCTTTTTCTTCTTTTGTCCTATGGCTAATATCATAAAGTATATGTAGGGATTGGGGGGGGGGGGGGGGGGGGTGTTATTTGTAATTTTCTGTCTTTTGCTAGTTGCCTAGATGGTGTTAATGCCACACTGCATTTCTGTAGTGTCTCTTTACTCCCGCGGCCCTCTCTTTCCTGGCTGGCCTCTTGCTCTCATGTAGTACACACTAGATGCTGGCTGATTTTTGTTCCATCACAGTTTTTAATATATTCTGACACATGCACATGCCTTTCTTCCAGAGCCAAAGAAGTGTTCCAATACTTACTGTTGCAGTTACAACCTGATTAAAATTACCACAACTACACATTCTGTGTGGTATTTGTTGGCACAGAAATTGAGCAACTAGAGAGTGACCCATCTGTGATTACTTAATTACCTCATGCCTATCTTCTCCCCTGTGTGCTGAGCAATGCTCACTCTTCCCTGATTCAGTATTGGTGTGGATACTGTCTGTTGTAATGCAAGATCCACCTGGCACACATAGCATTCACCATATCTGCCTTATCACAAAGAAGCTCGCTGCCTTGATGCGTGAAAGCAGCCAACCTTTTCCCCTACTCACTGCATTGCATACTTATACCTCCTGATTTGCCACTGGTCAGCCATGTTAAGGAGCGTATCTTCTATTGTATTGGGTCTCTCTCGTACTTACTTTCCTCGTACAAAACTGACCTAGGCTGCTGTCTAGGGGGTCAGATCCACAGATAAGATGCGGCAAACCTCTTCCAACAAACTACCACATGTCTCTAAATGACGACAATGGTTTTCGTCAGTTCCAGGTTTATTAAATATCATATAAGCAACAAGATCAACATAACAACCTCACTTACGCCATCCAGGCAAGGTTCACTTGCTCACACTTTTGAGTATACAGCCACGCCACTGTCAATGCTGACCTACACAGGGTCAGCACAATCAAAAGTCAGTAGGACACTTCCACTATCCTCAGATAAACTTCAGCGTGGCTTTACTACAACCACTTCACAGCCATTCGGGATCCATGTTCACTTCGTTTCACTAAGGATCCACTTTCATTCCAAACTCTCTGGGTTCCTGTCACAGAATGCCTTCTCAGTCAGCGATTTCCCCTGAGCTTGTGTTCACATGTAAGTTCAACCATCTTGTGTTTTACCATTTCCACATTAACTTCATGTCTCTCACGCTAGGGACTTCTCTGATTCTGTCAGTCAGTCAACCCCTTACCTTATAGCAATTTTTAGCATCATTACAAGTGTAACAGATATTATACATGTAGGACAAATTATGAATGCTGCCTTTCTCCCCTTCCTAAACTGATATACTAAAACTTAAACAATCTTGTGTTTTACTAAGTAAATAGATATATCAGGTACTGTTACCACAAAAAAGGTTGGCAGCAATGGATTTCTAATTTTCTCTGTCTCTACCCTGATTGTACACTCACTCAAACCCCTGTTTCTTTTCTCTTGATGTTATCCTCCCATCTTCTGGGGGACAAAATAACATACCCCCTGCCCCTGACAAGTATGTCATAATAGCCCACTAAACATGGGTGTTTTCTTCAAAGTCGTATTGCATGAGAGGCAAGGAACCAACAGTTGTGTAAAATCAGTCAGGTGTGTAAAAAGAATTATATGCAAAACTCAGCTTCTGGAGCAAGACTAAAGTTCCGAATTGGATGAATATTTAGAACTTTCTGCTAGAGCTTACATCTGATGAATGCAAAGAAAAGAAGAAGATCTTCCCACTTGCACTGTTGTTTAACCTTACTCACTTGTCTGCAACCTTTTCATCCAGTATGGCTTTCTAAGAGTGTTAAATCTTTTATGTCGAATTATTTCACCTGTTTCTACTTCTTTAAACAGCTCTTTGTATTTCCAGTCTCTTCAGAATGTCATCAAACAAACAATTCGAAACACTTTTGTGATAATCCTTAACAGGGCAGTTAGAAAGTTTTTTTTGTTTTTGGTGTACTGCTAGGGTACGATATTTGCTCACATCTAGGGTACGATATTTGCTCACAGCTAGGGTACGATATTTGCTCACAGCTAGGGTACGATATTAGCTTGTTTCAACCCAACGCAACCGATTTCAGAATAACCCTAATTAGTCGCCTTTTACAACATGCTCATTGGGGAGCAGTGAGTCTATCCCCCCCCACCCCTACCCCAAAATGAGGAACTGGAACCCACACAACAAATGTCTGAAATATAAAAACAACAATATAACAATATTACTATCAAGTGCCTTGACTGATGACTGACGAAGGCAATCATGCCTCTCCACAACTTGCAATCTTTTACAGGATGTTTCAGTCTGTGCTTACACCCTTCCCTGATGTACTTTTCGTGTGGTTTTATATCTCTCCCTCTAACACCCTTCGTTGACATGACAAAACAAAAGGTTGCCAAGAATCTTCTCACAAAAACATAAACAAGCAAAAACTCACTCTGGCACATAGCTGTATGAGTAACTGGACCACTTGTAGACAATGTAGGGCAATTTTTCATGTTGAACGAGCTCATGAGGGGTGTACTCGGCCTCCAGCTTCCGCTTATTTTCAATGACAGTGTTGATACTGTTTTTCAATGACAGGTTTTCTTCCATGTCACTGTCAGTAATTAATTAAAGAATTCCAGGTGTTAAATTATAAATGAACTAGTTGTAATAAATAAATTCGAATTAACCTATAACAAAAACAAATAAGCTGTAGGGGTACACTAACAGAAGCACCAAGACTCTGTCAGTGGAGGTTTTGATCATCAGTTTTGGTAAGTTATCATTCAAATTCTATGAGTGGGTCCTAGAAGCCCATCTGGCATGTGGGGGCAGGGAGGTATACTTAAAGTTTTGCGAATTGTGACTCACTAGGTTTTGCTAAAATCTGAAGTTCCTGGTCAAATAAAAAATGCAGAATATCACAGCCAAGCTGTAAATCCTAACATGACATGCCAACCTCTCTTTTAAGGATGAAGAAAAAGAAGAAGAAGAAGATTACAAAATTTTAAATAGCAATTCAACTACAAATTCTTCCTGAGACTATCTTTATTTCAGCCTGGGCTTACATAACTCTAGTAAATATCACTGAGATCTGATTCAGCATTAGAGATTTATTCAATTTTGTGTATTCTAAGAATGTAAGAATCTGAGCTCGCGCGGACAAAGGGTGGGGGTGGGGGGGGGGGGTTCAAACTTACCTGACCATGCATGCCTATTTAAAAAATTTGTTGCTGTTTATATATTAATTACTGCACGGTGATTGTGCTGATTTTATAAAACCTAATTTGAACAAATGTATTTGGTAGTTTGGCCACTATATTCGTGGTGCACATTTCCCCAGTTTATAGTCACTTTACTGTGGCAGCTTGGCTGCAATATCTGTCCCATTTCCCACAAAAAAATATGTAAAACCAACAATGTTTACACAGGTCACTAATAAATTCGTAAAAAATGTTTTCATCAACATTTTAACATTATTTTTTTTAATATATAAAGTCATATGAAAGGCGTAATCAATAAACATGAATGGAGTGAAGCAATAAACTGAATACATCCCCTGGAACCTAAAAAACGTACATATATCAGGTGACTCATGCCGTGACTTTTACTACTGAGGCTTACAAGAAAATTTGATGTCATTTTGGCTTTAAAGCCATTACTCCTCTAAATGCTGTTGTTAGTTAATGTATTCATATCCTGATCTCCAAACCACTTGCACAGTTATGAACTCAGTCAACAGCATTACCTATAAAAGTAAAAAGTAAAGATCCCTTTTTATGCCTTTTAGGCGTATTGGGCATATGGGAAGAGCGCCTATATTTTACAGACCACCGGCACTAGGTGGGTAATGTGGTCAGCATTACGCCGGCTGTCTTTACTTCCCCAGGACAGCTATCCTGGTTCATGACAGGTACATCAGAAAGGTTACATTTACAGGGAACTGGACCCAATGGAAAGTGTCATTTTTTCAGCTTCTCGTGGCAATAGGGCTCACGCAGCATGGATTGGGGCTAAACTAGATGGCTGGGACTCACGAGCAGCAGCTACCGCATCTCCTGCAGCTTCCTTCATTTTATTTGCTCGTGAGTCCTAGCCATCTAGTTAAGCCCCAATCCACACCCCGTGAGCGGCGTGGGGGATACTCTCGGCAGTGGCGATATAGTCCCCGCAAGTTCGCAATTCGGCGGTAGCGTTAGTCCCCGGAAGTGACTGATGTCCTGTTAGGGTATATTTTTGTCCTCGATAATTTGAGACACCATTATTTGGAGGATAGCCAAAAACAGTAACAATGTAACCTAACAAGCAAGTCGTAAGACACCACTGCAGATTTTCTGCCTTGGCTATGCCATCTCAAAGAAAGTATTTGCCAAAGCATCAAATCATGTATAAATCTATGACAGAAGCAAGTCAAGTGGAAGATTACCAACCTCCTTTCATCAAAGAAAATCTCAAAATCAGAATTTAAATGGACAGAACTGAAGGAGATATACAGGGATAGAATCTATCTGAACAGACAGAGTTGGCTGGGCGCCTATGCTTTAATCAACGGGTTATAATGATCAGAATATTTGAAACAGTAAACCGTAATCAAAATTAAAACTTAGAACTAATTATTAAAATTATACAATATTTTATGATGATCATAACATATTCTATAATTTTAATAATTAGTTCTAAGTTTTCATTTTAATCGTTAGATTCATTATAAATTTAATATTATTATGTCATACATTTATTTTTGATTTTATAATAACTTTAGTGCAAAGTATTTTACTTCTATTATTTGACTGTCAGCAGCACAGCCGTCATTCAATGCACACTGGTGTTTTACTAATTACAGATAATGCTCAAATTATAATATAATTGACCGAAACTGTAAATAAGCCGTCAATATTTATGTTTTACCCAAATATCAACAAGCACTTGGTGTTTTGGCCTGGTGTCCAACCAAAGCTGACAGAAACTAGCCAGGTACTGTGCGCAAAGTCAGTTTGATTCTGTCTGATGACCACTTTTAAAAAAGATTGACGCTGGAAATATCACTTCTGCGTTCTTTCTTATATCCTTTAGTACCCACCAGCTCACCGTGCGTTTGTTAATTTCAACTATAGTTACATGTTTTTAAATAAATACTGTGCTTTATGGATGTGAATTATGAACTCCTACTCAATGACTGCAGAAAAAAATCGGATACAGACAAATTCTTAGATTCCTGCTAACCAACTTGAGTTTCAAGAACCGACGTCACTGCACTCGGTGCATTTCCATGTGTGCTCCTTCCCATCTCCAGCAGCCAACGGAAAGATGGTACCAGTGGTATCTCATTGTATGTCCGTCTCGCCTTTACTCTGAGTGTAGAGTGTCGGTCAGATCTCCTGATCCATGGACCAAGAAGAAGAAAACACCGATATAATTTATGATCTGAGCATCGGGGAGAACTGGCTGATAAACAGCATCCTTTTCCGAAAGGTAGAATATTTTGGCCAATTAAGCGTCATAGTAGCCTGTAGAGAACAGTTGTGGAGGGTGCTTTTTCCTGAAAACAAGACAGAAACAGACCTCCGATAAAGTGAATAGAAAACATTGAAAATATACTGTCTATGAGTGCACATAGGGCTGGAAAATGGCGAGACAGAGAGAGTGAGACCTTCAGGCCTGCCGCGACGAGAGCGACATACTGTAAAGGACCAGCTGATTAATGATAATATGGCACCACTTTCTAGCTTTAACTTTTTCCGCCCGACAGTACTTATATTTTAACCTCCCAGGCGTAAACACAGACACCAGCACTCCAAGAAGTAATTCTTAAAATAGAAGAGTTAAAGTAAACTCTCCTTTGTACTGAAAGAGTTACAAGGAAAGTTAGGATGATGAGTACTGGTTTATAGTTGCCCTGAGATATCTGCACCTTTCACCCCAACACGTCTGATATTAGCAAATCCTTATCTATTCGTCATTTTATTAATACGGAAATGGAGTATAACAAGGAAAGACAGTATCCAGACCACAATTTGCTGTATTTTAGAAATAATAACTCGATAAAGAACCAATAATTTGGTACTTAAACCCCTGATTTCGATCTTCGACAGTGTTATGGTTTCCATAGAGGAAGCGCAGAAACGTGACACTAACATATTCATTTCATAGGATGCGAACAAGGAGGGCTGGGTTAATACTGGCTGCTTTGTTCCACTGAAAACTTTAGAATGTAAAATCCGTCAAATCATGTATATCAAGTGTTTGTTGGTTGGGAATCTACGCCGAACTTGGAGATAAAGGCAGCAGCAGCGGCGGCATCAGCGGAACAACAACAACAAAAACATTACATTATTGTTTCTCTTATGTTGACACCTGTGGGATTGATTAATTTATTTATTTAACAAAAAAAATATTATAATTTATACTTTTGGGATTGCACCTTAGGACTGACAGTCGCTGACTTACAGAATCGCCATTAAGCTACAAATCCAACGGGAGCTGGTCAGAAAAGCCATTTTGACCGTTTAAAACAGTACTATTGAAGCACGATATACTTGTGAAGCAGCCTTGCTGTCAAATATGAATGGGTTCCCTTATTTCTGATCATCACCTTCATAACCACCATCGTAATCATCATAATCATCATCATGATGTGCCGTGCTGATAAGCGTAGGCTGTCATGTTTAGCCTTCTCACTTATTCAACCGAATCACGGAACAGGTCAATGTTCCTGTTTTGCCTTATTCATATGGCAAAGCCATGCATGTATTTATCTCTTCGACTTTCCATTACTCATTTTCCATCAGTACCAGTGTAAAAAAAAAGTGGCGGTCTGCACCACAAGATCCCTTTTACAAGAGCGGTCAAAATTTGATGTCTAAGAAAAGGTGCCGATACTGCGTACTGTTGATTACCAACAGGAAAAAAAACCTGGTCTGCCAATGGTCACCAAGTTCTTGAGTACATTAATTCTTATAACACCCCCCCCCCCCCATCCCCCAACCCGCCAACAAAAATCATGGATACTATATTATGTTTTTGTGCACTAACTTTATAATTAAGCCAATATGGCAAAGTCACCATATACTTTATAAAAAGGCGATCACGGCAAATGTTCCCGGAACAAACTTTAAACATTCAGCGTACGAGATCTGTGCTGACCGCCGAGGGCGATCTTTTTTATCACATCTTGCTACATCCACGATTAAATGTCTGTTACTGACTGCTGGGAGAGTTCTTTTCTGTCACTTTTTTGCGATCCCCAGCATTATATATCTGTTCGTGTGTTGATACTTTCCCACGCTTTGATAAAAAACAGGAAAGACATGTCTTAATCTTTCTCTCCTTTCATGTGCTGATAAGCAAAATCAAGATGAAATTCTAAAGATAATGAACATCTGATGCATTTGAGAATAAAAATATGGTATATTAAACACGAAAAAAAAAAATAATGATTTCTGTAATAGTTATAAGAAGCCTTTAAAAGACGAGGCGAGTGTCGAATACTGTTGGTGACAAGTTAAATGCTTTAGGGGTGAAGCATGCTCTCCTTCGTAACACAGGACTTGCTGTTAATTCCTCTATTCAGTTGTCTTGCACTTTCATTTCGATATCAGGAATGACATTAA